TATATAGTGTGTTAAAAACAAAAACATTTAAAAAGGAATTCAATAAAATCCTATTTGTCAGGAGGGATACCTGACTGGCACCCCTAAATAAAATTTCCCAAATATAGAAAGCCCTGTAAAACCATCACTTTTTTAAGGGTTTTTGACTAATATGATCAAACAGTTGGGCTAAACTTTAACTTGTGGAGTACAGCATAAAAAAATAAACTTCTTTTTTTTCCCTTCACATATAAAATAAATGTCTCCATGTTGATTGGGTTAGTTAATGCTAGGTTTGTTCAAAAATACTTGTTCGCTTGGCAATGGTTGGTTGTTGTTAAATTCTAAAATGTAAAACTTCCATAAACAGTTGTACATTCATTTAGTTCTTTTTTAGGATAGTTTTTAAGAGGCATTTTTAAGTGATAGTTCAGATATTTTTTTCAGCAGGCGTCTGTAGAAAAGTCATTAATGCTTAAGTTGTTTTTTTCTAATGTAAATAGCTCTTTTAATGAAAACACCTTCAGTTATAGAACGTTTTATTTAGTCCATATTTCCAAGATAACAACCTTAGTTTATTGATGTTATAGTAGTTTTTGATGATGCTGTTTCCTTCAGTTTTACATTACGCTGTTTTTCCAGCACTAACATAAGGATTTTGCTGTCAGGACTGTCACAGGCTGCACAAAGCTACAACTAATGATCTTCAATGCTATTTGTGCTTTTAAAAAATAAAATTCTTAATTCACAACTACAAATTAAAAAAACACAACAACATTTGAAGAAACACAATTACATGAAGCAAAACCGGAAGAGGTGTGAAAGGTGGGAGGTTCAAATGCTCCGTCGTCCAATCATCGACGTCTCAGTTTCCCACTGGTCCCATCTCTTCCGGTTTCACTTAATGTAATTGTGTTTCTTCAAAGGTTGTTGTGTTTTTTTAATTTGTATTTGTAGTTTAAACTTCAAGGCCAACATATGTCCACGACAGGTAAACTTTTTCACAGAACCCCTCTTTAACCCCCCCAAGCTATTACTTTAGACACTTAACGAGAACAATGGCTTCTAATGGGAGAACTGTTGTTAAAAGGGGGAATGAGACGGGGGTTGTGTTTCAAATTGTCATGTTTCTCTTAAGATTGTTTTAAATGCCTTTCCTGATCACGTCCATTCATGCTCAGTAACCTCCTGCCTGCAATCGCAAAAGTAACAGATGGCTACTCCAGATTAGCTGTGGAAATATCAAGCTGAATGCTATCCAATTACAGCAAGAAGATTAAATTTAAAGCATTATCTCTTCACTTGTTTTCATCAAACTGCCCTCTTTAGATCAAATATTTTGGCATGAACTTTAAGCAAGCAAATACGTTTTCGGTACATCAGTCATTTAAACGTTGAAGTCAATTTTTTCATCCGACAAATTTAAATTTTAAAATGCGACATTATTTTAAATGTAATCATATTTCAGGCGTAAATGAAAAATTGTCTTCAAATTGCATGTTCTCTCCAGTAATTATTCTTTTTCTTTATCTGTTTTTAGAATAGTGGAGAAAAATGGAAAAGCCCTTGAGTTCCCGGCAAACGGGGGAAGTCGAATTATTCGCCATTATCGCTCTAGTTCAGTGCCCCTTCCCCTCGCTGTGGAGAATGTGGTTCATTTTTCTGCTAGTCCCCTCATCAAACCAGCCTCGCAGCAGGCCGCCCAGACCAGCGAGGATGGAGCCGGCAGTGGAAGCCTTTCCTCTCCTCGGAAGCAGCCACCTCCCAAACCAAAGAGGGACCCCAACACCCGCCTGAGTGCATCTTATGAAGTAGTTAGTGCTGGGTTGACAATGGCTGTCAAAGAGAGCTTCACTCCAGAGGGGAACAGTTCACCTGCTGGAAGTCCCCCGAAATCCCAGCTCTCCCCAAATGACCCAGCAGGTATGTCATCACAAATACAAACTTTATTTGTACTCTTTGTTGCCTTACAACTTTATGTATTGCTTTAATTTCCTTTGCATAACTTACTTATTTTGTAATGTCCACAGCCTCATCCAAACCTCGTCCCCACAGTGATGATTACACAACCACAAGAAAGGTACCGCCACCCAAACCTAAGCGCAGCCCCAACACTAAGCTGACAGGCTCGTATGAGGAGATTAACGCAGTAGCATCCCATCTCCACCAGCTGCGGCCCGCTGATGTGAAGCTAGCCTTGCTTTCCCGGGGTGGGGGGTTTGGAGGCTTGATGCAAAGAGCAGCCTCAATAGATGCTCCACAAGGTGTAGCACTAAGCTTGTTCTCGGGACATGATGAAGAGGATGTTTACATAGAAATGTTAGGGTCTCAGCCACGGACTCGGAGCCTCCAGGAGCCCCCTGATAGCCCAGAGCAAGTAGACACAGAAGCTGTCTATGAAGAAATGAAATATCTCCCTCCTGAAGAAAGTGGAACACCTCCTACTGCAGTAACCAAGGCAGCCAAACTTCAGGCTTTAACCCTGGGTCTGGTGGGATTTGGGATGTCTCCACCGAAAAGCGGGGAAGCCAAACAAACATCAGTTGGGGTGAGTGCTGTCATGGACGTTGCTCTTACACAAAGCAGTGGCACTTCCAAAACTCAACATTGCAAAGATGGCAGCTGTGACATCCCTGCTCCCTTCCCCAACCTGCTCCCTCACCGCCCACCTCTCCTGGTGTTTCCCCCCTCTCCTGTCACCTGCTCTCCTGCTTCAGATGAATCACCCCTGACCCCCCTGGAGGTAAAGAAGCTGCCAGTGTTTGAGACAAACCTGAACTATGCCACAGGCCCAGACAGCCCTCTGTCCCCACAGTTTGCTCGCCAAAGGGCCGACTCTTCCCCTAGTCTCACTGTCCTTGTACCAGAAAAGAAGTCCACACCCCCACTAACCCCTCCACCACCACCTCCTCCCCCAAGTGCTCTACCTCCTCCCTACAGACCCCCATCACACTTCCCCTTCCCACCTGAGGCCAGCTTCCTGACTCTGACTCGAGCAGCATCTGTCACTGGGAGCTCAGATTCACCTAAAATCTCCTCTCAAAGGGCAGGTGGGGAACCACTGGGGAAGCCACCTCCCTACTCGCCTGTGAAGATGTCTCGTCCTGAGCCACGAAGAGCCCACTCATGCTCATCATCTCCCCTGCTTTTTAATCCAGCCAATGGCAGACCCCTGACTAGCCCTCTGGAAGAACTCAACACTCTGTTCAGTTCTGGACGCAGCCTGCTGAGGAAGTCAACGCCTGGCCGCAAGACGAGAGAAGGTCTGTCAGAAACTCTTTAAACACATATCCACAGAGTCATTCCCATTTAAAAGTCTTTGCTTTTTCTTTTAATAATATTTTTTGCATCTACATCCATGGGATGATTATTTACTAACATGGGATGATTATTTACTAGCACAAAACAACCCAGATGAATAAAACCAAGCCGCCACATGTTTGTGTTGGTACGTATCAAAGTTCAAGATTCAAGGTTCTTTATTGTCATTCACATCACATGTGGAACATGAGGTGGAACAAAATTGTGCACTCCAGGTCCCAATTACACCCAAAATAGTAAAAATATAAAGTATACAAATAAACAGTATATAAGGATCTAAGATATACACTAAGATACATGCTAAATGAGCGCTAAACGATACAAAAAATATCTATGCTATATGCTGAACACTAATAATGTAAAATAATATGGTATATTAAACAGCAGCTTGAACATGAGTCTGTAGTGAGCAGATGGGTATGAATAAAGCAGCATAAAGGCAAGAGATCAGCAGCATGGAAAATCAGCAGCACAGATATAACACATATCACCAATTAAAGTGGAATGTGTGACTTATCTGTGCTGCTGATTAGCCATACTGCTGATCTCTTGTGTGTGTATCTCGTATGTAGATATGCAAGAGATCAGCAGCATGGATAATCAGCAGCACAGATAAGTCACATATCACCAATTAATATGGCATATGTGACTTATCTGTGCTGTTGACTATCCATGCTGCTGATCTCTTGTGTATGTATCTTGTATGTAGATAATTTGGATGATAACCATTGATTCTTGCAATTTTGTTGACATCGTCCCAAACTTTAAGGCGAGGACATTTGTACTGATGTGCTTTGTCACTGTTGTCTACTGTTGTCATCATTTTTTGTTAAAATCAGGTCTCTCTTGTAAATGAGTCCTCGGTGCTCAGTGAGACTAACCTGTATAAATACAAGTTGAATGAATGAATATGTACACTTTAGTGCAGCCAGGCATGTGCATAGCGTGCAGTCTTATATCTTGTGATGGGTTGCTAATTAAAGACTCATTAAGCCAACACTGATTACATTCTGAACACAAGAAGCAGTGTAGGGCCCTGGATAAGTGATAAACACCTGTTTTGTACGGGATATAGATTAATCTTGCAGACCCCTCCCCCACCCCCAAACACACAGACACATGATAAACTGCAAAGGAGTACAGCCTTTAATTTTAGCATGTTTGCTAATGAGCTATAATGTTTAGCTCATTTTCGCTGCAATCCATTTGTACTTGGAGGTCTTTTTTTACTTGAAAAACTCAACTGGGACACTGCCTGAAGCCAGAAATTTGACTTGGAAAGTTGGTCTCCCATCCAATCTAATGTGGTTGACAGAGACGCAAATCATGGTGATAGCTGCTGTAATAAATGCTTGTTTGCACTTCTGACAGTTTGCCTCGCAATAAATGAGCCATACACATAGTACTTCCCCATCTCTATTTTTGAACACTGTTTGAATGCATAAAAAGCAAATAAGTACATTGTTATGGGCTTGTTTAGCTGATTAGAGCTAGCCTTGTCACTGAGCGCAAGAATGAGCAAATTCCCCTGATTTTCCAACTTGAAACTTGGACACTGTTGACTCATTCTCTGATCAAAGTTCATACTTCAGAGGTAAATGTTACACAGCATTAGTCTTAGGCTGCACTTTAAGTTTATTTTAGCATGGTAATTGTGTGAGGTAGCTCAGTAAGGGTAGAACACAGGCTGCAAAAGTAGGGCAAAGTAAGTTATCACTGAGTCAAAACATTCAGATAAAAAAAAAATTGGTCAGTTTGTAGCAACCATATTATCATAAATATTATGTTGTTATATCATACATAAGAAAAAGATGGAGACTCCTCTATCCCACTGTTTTTATCCTGGTATCTGTTTCCTCAGTTTGTAACTCGTGGCTTCATTAATAATACATGAGCAGTAGAACGATGAGGATTAGGCATCAAATATTTAACAGTTCACTCATGTTCTACTGAAGGAACTGTGAATGTGCAGCAGCAGTGAAGGGTACAACCTGGACAACTATCTGGAAGACAAATTCACATAAACTACAGTCAAGTCGATTGTAGCCGGCTGCTGTAAATAATCGGTCATCTATCTTGAGCCTTAATAAGGAGCTTCTTGATTTGTGTAACAAACTGTTGTGTCATACTTCTATAATTGTAAAAGAAATTCAGGCAGCCAGGAGCTGAACACCTTATAAGACACTGTATGCAATCGAGTGCGTTTGCTGACGCATTTGCCTCCCATCCCATCTTCCAACTGGCTCTTCGTCAGCACCTGGACCCTAGCAGGAAAAGCACTGGCATCATGGAAAATAGTGTGTGTGACAGGAGGAACAGGCCACGAGGTATTTTGAGCGGGCAGACCACTGCTGTCCTTTTAGATCTGAACGCACAGGGATGCCTTTGGGCTTAACAGGACAACCCACTTCCGTTCCCTCTTGGCAGTTAAATGACTGAATGTGATACCCAACTCTGGAGGAGTGGCTAAGGGGGTTACAGTTGCTATTCCAGACATCTCTGTGAAGAGCAGCTGACTCTCCCTGAACCCTTCCCCCTAAACCCCACATCCTTACTCACCTTTGTGTATGTGAAGACGACAGGAATGCAAGAGAAAGAGGAAACATGCATCATAAAAAAAACGCATCTTTCAAAAGCAGCCTTTTAATCTGAGACTGAAATATTGTTCTCTTTTAGTTTACTTTTATTTCTGATTGTCCTTCTCAGTTACAAACCCTTACCCTATGATGTAGTAGAGTTTGTTAAGCTTATATTTAAGTATCATGTGACGGTGGTGGGGCCAACAGGCACACATTCTCAGTGTGAGACAGCAGCTGATGAATTACTGCTCAAACTGCCTCACACATATGTCACCAGAGTCACTTGCTCATGCAGTTTGTGAACATATGTGAACCCTGAGGAGAACCGTACACAGTTACCTCACCAATGGAAAGCAAAACGTTCAGCAAACATTTTAATTTTTACGTTTGTTAAAAAGATGTTAGAAAATAAAACGACTTGAAAACAGATAAAAATCATTTCAACAATTTTTATTTGCTTTACATTTTTAGTGTCTGGTATGTGTTAGACATACATGTACAGACTCATGGTGTGCATTTGAAACATTTTGGTCACATTTCTTCCAGGGTTCAATTCTAATATAAATCTGCCAGGGAAAGAAGACTGTGGTTCTGCACCCACGTCACCTTCTCTGCAAGACAAGAACGCCAACAACCACTCTCTCCACTCCCCAAGCCCGGTCTCTGTAGAGAACGGCAACCAGATCTCCAACGGTAACGCACTTTACATTTCACACCAAACTCCAGGTCACACAGTTTAAAACAGTAACATTTAGCTTTATACTATCCAGGACAATTTAATTAGTATGGGAAAAAAAATAAAAGAATGAAAACAAAAAAGTTTGTAAGCGATGGCTTTAAGATTTTGTGGTGAGGTTCTGTAAACAAAGAGTTATGAGCAGTTAATGTCTTACTTGTTGTGGATAACTCTTGAGATTACCTCACTTTGAAAGTGTATCTGATGCAATGCAAGGCTATCAAATGTGAATGCTGTTTTAAATACATTTACAGTGATGTCAGTTTGCATTATATGATTTTATAATTATCAAAACTAATTGTACTGGAAGTGTGCAGGCTGCAACACATGTGCTCCAGCTAGCTGCTGCTGCCACTATTACAAAATGTTAAAATTAAGTTACTGCATGTTTTCATAAATGGAAAGTGCAACAATACAAACTGTGAACAGTTCAGTATGATGCAGAAGTCAGTTAGTTAGTTTTTTAACCTACGCTGTCTTTTCATGCAGTTTAGAAAAGTTCATTGCATTTCTCTGTGGTCACAATTGAAAATTACATTTATAATAAACGTCAAAAATGTCCCATTTCTAATGTAAGATTTTGTCCACCCAAGCATTGTTAAAATCATCTTGCTCTTATTTTATTTGGGGGCAAATGAAGTAAAAAATGCTAAATAAGTCAATAAACACCTAAATCCACACACAGCTTCCACACATATTAACAAGGAATAGCAGCTTGGTGCTGCTACTCAGTTCACTATATTAAATGATCAGCAGCAGGTGTGAGCACTTCTGTAGAAGCTGAGGTTTGAGGTAGTTTGTTTTGGATACATGTGGTAATAAAACAGAAAAGAGATAGCAGTTATGAATTTGACTAACAAAATGAAACAGAATTTTTGCTCTGCGGGGAGTTACACGGCTGCTTCTAAGAAATTTTGAGTCCATTATTCTGCTACAACGAAGCTATTCAAAGTGGAAAACATTCAAGACAGTTGCAGGTCTTCCCTGGAGTGAATGGTAGAGCAAGTTTACTCTGATGTCAGAGTGTGCAGGGCTTAGAGAAACTGCAGAAAACCAAGATTCACTGAAGTCCACTGGCTCCACTTTAGATTTGCTATGCTAGTATTGTTGACAGTACAACTAGTTGCTAGGATTGCCAAGACAAAGCTTCTTCTCTGAATTAAACATGGCACTGCGTCTTTTCAAATTGGCATCTAAACAAATCATGAGACCTGTGAACAAATATCTTTTGGACAACTAGGACCAAATTGGAAATATTGTAGCTGTGAACCACATTAAATGGATCATATCAAAACAAACATTTGAAATTTCAATGGTATTGGAGAGTATAAAAACACCAACCACACATTCTGAGATCTTTGCAGCCGTTAAGTCATCGATGAACTTTAGTGAGTCAAATATGATGGGGTCATACAACAGAGTAATGATACGAAGGCTTAGCTGAAAGAAAATAGAGAAGTTTTCATGTCAAGAAGTCCATGCACGTGTTATGAAAATTAACAACTGCATTGCAGCAAAATTCAGTCAGGTCATCTGGATGGTTTCTGTTTTTCTTTTTTGAGCCATTTTGTCCTTCATCCAAAGGACTTCATCAGTCTGAGGAGCTGCAAACAAACTGAGTACCACAAGCAGCAAACCCACTTAGTGGACTTGTCAGTTTGCTGGTGATAAGATGGTTTCTGGGGCCTGCCATCTCCCCCTGTAGACTACTCTGAGGCAGCCATAGCTAAAGTGGTTCGAAACATCAAAGTCCATGCTCAATAATCCAGAATTTTGAACTTTGATGTTTTGAACCACTTTGGCTATGACTGCCTCCGAGGAGTCAACGGGGGAAGAGTGCAGGCCCCAGAAACCATCTTATCGCCAGCAAACTGATAGGTCCACTATGTGGGTTTGCTGCTTGTGGGACTCAGTTTATTTGTGGCTCTTTGAACTGATTAAGTCCTATGGATGAAAGACAAAACGTCTCAACAATAAGAAAGAAACCATCTAGATGACCTGACTGAACTTGGTTGGATTTTCTACCTGGATTACTGAGCATGAACTTTGAGAACTGCATTGCGTTGTTAATTCCTATTAACTAAAATATAAGCATCATGTTTATCTAAACTGTATTTTTGGAAAGGCAAGAGAACAGCTCCTCTGAATTTCTCACAACATTCTTCCTTCTTCAGCTTCCACCATTTGGTCTTCTTCTCTGATTTTACTCTTTTTCTCTTCTTCACAACAACAGCCTACACATTCTACACACAACCATCTGATGCCGTCTGGCCACACTCTCCCCTGCCACAACCTTACTGTCCCCAATATGTTGCCATACCTTTCTCCATCCTTATAGCAGTGTTTTGTCATAGAAACAATTTACAGTTCCAACAGCAAAGAAGACAAAGGCATGCTTAATGTTACATTTTCAATTCAACATTAAACATGAAATAACCTAAAAGTTGTTTTTAAAGAATGTCAAACGATATATGTTACATTGAATAACGGAAGCCATGGGATGACTTTAAAACCTGATGTATGAGGTTAGTAAAATTTTCCTTCTATTGTGTTCAGGGTCACTGGAAGATGAGACTCACATCAAGACAAATTCCAGCACCACCTCCCAGAACAGACACATGGACAGTCATCATACTCAGGTAATCATAAAGGTATTAAAAAGCATACATCTTCATTATTTTGTATGATTCAATATACTGCACAGACAGTATATAAGTGTTTGTGTGCGTGCACTCTGGCCCACACACGTTTATCAAATGTGACCTTCAAATACTCTAGTTACTTTGAGCAAACTATTTTAAGTTACGTATTAAACAACCTCATTAATGGTGTATTTGTCAGAGAGCCTGATAAGTAAAAGAATTTTGCCATTTGATCGACAGCATAAGGTACACACAAAGAGCCTGTCACGAATGAGAGATACAAGGTTTGATGAGTTATCACATGCTCTACTTTCACTCAAACTTCTTCTTTTCATCTGGGGAGATCAGAATTTGTTTTTCTTTTCATCTGGGCAATCTTTTAGCAAAAAACTGGTTATATTATTAGATTTAACCACAAATACGCACACAGACACCACTCACACACAAGAGCCACAACATTCTGAAAGTGCCCTTTTTCTCCTGGGCATATATATAAATATATATACATAAAAATAATAAATAAATATATATATATATATATATATATATATATATATATATATATATATA